GACTCCGGCGGGAACCCCTGATCCAACATGGGCTACTAACCAACCAACTACTGTCACTTGAGACAAAGTTAGGCGGTGTTCTGGCCTGCATTGCAGAAAGCAGCCTACAGCCGAACCCGTTCGGTACTCTTGACTCTGTCTTGTCACCGGTTCAAACAGGTGAGGGTTTAGAATGAGGCAGACGGTTGAGCGTCTATTTCACTTAAATCCGTCTATGACTTCAGTCACCGTCCCCGCTCTTGAGTACATGGTGGACTTCATCGAAATAGATTGTCAAACTATCATCACAAAAACATCTACCACAAAAGAAGGAAATGCTTGCTACGCCGATTGCAGAGGGTTGTAAGAATAGGTGAGTGGTTTACCACACTGAAAAATCTAAAAGTACCCCCGATGCTGTTACTATCTGTCCAGTTGGTTTTGCTTTTTACGCAATATAGACGGCCGATTTTACATGTGATTCCGCCAATGAGGATAGGAATCAGGTCACTAATAGTAGCACAAGCTGCCGCTCAGTGGAAGAGAGTCGGTGAAACATGAAACCTACTACAGTGGCCAGACCAATGTGTGCCTTCAGCACGTGAGTGAAGTCCTCCCGTTGCTCAGCCGTGGGCGTGCCCACATGGACCGTTCGAGTGACGTCGGTTGTACCTGTGTTGTACTGACCCCCGGAGTCCACCAGGTACATGGAATTGGCGGTTAACGGACGAGGATTAGAAGAGTCACCCACGTGGTAGTGGATGATGGCACCGTTCTCGTCTGGAAGAAAAATACACAACAAAACTACTGTTAAAATTGTGGTTAATGTACGTTCCCATGTATTATGTCCTTTTATCACACAGCAGTACCTATTTTAAAGTAATGCAAGTATTTGTTTATCATAAACTTTAGGTCCTTAACCCATTGTTTAGATGCTCTCGGAATTAACAGTTAATTGCCTCAGCTGACATTTCAATACCTCTATTGACACTATTTCCCGTTGAATTTATACTTTGTTGTTTGTTTCGGAAAACTACGCTCTTCTGTTGTTTCCCAACCCTCGTGCTATTATTTGCTCGAATCTCCCATCTCCTTTTTGCATAATTTGACGCTACTTTTTTGAAAGTACGCCTCAATATACTGGGTTGTAAGTGCAGTGCCGCGTAATCTCGGTGAACAAGTTTAATTCGTTTCGGCAGCGAGCTCGTCTTGTGAGACGTAGCCAATCAAACTGCATCAATTCACTGATTGGTTGCAGGCGACCGAAGACTCACGCCCTGGGAGCAAATCTCAACGGCGAACACAGGCACACACACAAACACGCACTGATAGCTCGTTAACTGAGCGGAAGTTCGGCAAAAGAGACAATTCTTCTGCTAGGGACTCGCTCGCCACCTGAAATGCTCGTAAATGGGGCATCACTCGTCAACTGAGGCTCCACTGTATGTAAAATTTGCTAATTATAGTACATTAGATCAGACCGTGTTACTAGAACTTTCTGCTTAAGGACGGGCACGATTTGCCAAA